CCCTGCCAGCCTCCATCCCAGGCCGCTGCCAACCCTTCCATGCTTGAGCCAGGGAAGAGAGACAACCAGCAAGGGAGATGGCTGGGGCTCAGCTCCAAAACCATTTATTGAAACCAAAAGGATTAGAAAGTTCACATGAAACCAAAGCTGGACACACAGGAGGAGGCTTTTTGTTTTTCAGGTTTCTTAAAGGGTTGCTGTATTTTTTCACCTTTTGAGCAGCCTTTTTGTCCCTTCCCATAGGATGCTACTTTGGGAAGGTAAGAGGGTTGTTTTTTGTTCTCATCCACTGGAGGGGCATAAAAATAAATTTGTCAATTAACAGTATGTACATAGGTACAGGCTGTATTTATTTTCTGTGGGAAAACAACACTATCAGTACTTAAAGGATCATGTTCATGACTTCCTTTATCTTACAGGAGACTTATTTTTGTACAGTAAATCCAAATTCATCTCCATAGCTTAGGCAGCTCCACAACTTGTCTGCAGGTAGGGCTGATACACCAGCCTGCTCCTGCTGTTTGAGGACAACCCCTGCTGCCTTTCTCAGGTACTTCAGACCCCATTCCCCAGGAGAAAACCTTCTTATCAGCCAACCTGGGCATGTCACATAGAGCACAGCAAATCCCAGGGGTTGGTTTTTGCTAATCTGGAGTCTAAAAAGTGGGAACACCTGGGACACAGGGAAACCTGGTGATGGGGAAGGACCAGTGCAACATGAGAACACCATTCAAGGTTCATGTTCTTCCTAAAACACACAACAGCCATCCAGTGTGGCCACACAGTGGTGTCTGGCTGGGATGGCAGGAAATTCAACATCAGAGATGAAAACCTTTCCTGTCTTTCCTTTTTATGGACACGAGTCTTGGGTCTGCGTTGGATCACCCATGTAATTGAGAAGCTTTGGAGAAGCTGCAGGATGTTGGCCATCAGAAGCCCACCTGTTCTTCAGCTGCTTACCACAGACACCATGAGGACTGAGGACTCCTGAAGCCAAACAGCAGCCAGGCAAAACAACCAACACACACACTCAATTAACAGCAGAACAGCAAAGATGGAGAACTTGCTCCCTGGCTTCTTGGCAGACTGCAGGATTTCCCCCACAAATGTCACACCTCCAACACATCAGCCTGGCTGCTGATAGAGATTAATCCTTTTAAGCAACAGTTAAGTCTCTGAATGCCATTTAAAAGGCAGCAGCAGCCATAAAACGCGCAAACATTTCCAAGCTGACTCTCAGCATGACATGAAGGCAGGATGGGCAGACACTCAACTCACTGGAGAAAGAAGAGCAAGGAGGCTGGGTGGTCAGGATGAGAGACAGCAAGTGACAAATGGGATCTCTGAGATCCTCCAGCTGATGGAGGATCAACTCTTGGACACCATGAGATAAGGACAAGGCTGCATGGACCAGCTGACCCACCTCATGGCCCAGCTGTCTCCCATGCCCTGGGGAAACCTGCCGTCCAGCCCCACTGCCCTCCTCAGGCCAGGGACACCTCCACAGGTCCAGCACGTGGAGCCTCAGCAGGGGTATGATAGTGGGAAGTTGATAAGAAAAATAACATTAAAAACAAAAAACAAACACACAACCCCCCCCCAAGCCAAAGCAACCAACATCAAGACCAATGGCAGGACTTGGTGGTGAGGGAAATGTTGGATATTTGCAACTTGAAGACAGCTTCTTCCCTGGGAAGTAGTCCTGCTTTGTCTGGTCCAGTCTCTCTCTCCTAGAGGCAGCAGTCCCTGCTGGAGGCATGAGGGTCATCTGGCAGCACTTCTTCCTGGGGATGGAGCTGGCAAGGAGGAACCAGGCTCCCCGCCAGCACTGGGTGGTCTCCAGGGGGTCTCACAGGAGTGCTGGGCAAAACACAGCCACTGTCAGACTAGGAGAAGAGAGAGAAACAACAGGGTGTTGAGGCACTTTGCAGCTTTTTACTAGTAGTGACGGGACTAGTGCCCAGAGGAGGCTGGTAGGAGAGGAGCAGGTTTGCTCCTGCTCTTCCACCCCTGGTGACCCCATACACATTCTCACACCTTTAGCCGAGGTCCTGTCTCACAAGTTCTGACCTGTCTCTTCATTGGCAGGAGGCTGAAAGCACACAAAGGGTCAATGCATCCAGCCTCCTCAGCAGGCACTAGTTTTCACCTCCTGACCTGCTAATTGACCTCTGCAGAACCTGACCAGGTGTGTCACAGCCCTGCAGCTCACTCCTTAAATTATCTGTAAATGCACCTGGACTGCATCTGGAGCAAGTGCCTGGGTCTTGCACCCTTGCTGCACTCCTGGCAAGGCAGGATCATGCCAGCCACATGAAGTGGTCACCAAGCTCTTGAGATCTGTTGGGGCTGTTCTCCACAGGTCCTACATGATCCCAAACCTATAGGCAGGATCAGAGTCAAGCTCTTCAACAAAGCTAGAAGGAACCTGGTGTGTTGGGTGGAAGAGATGGAGAATGGGAGCACCTGAGTACAGATTATGTCCTTCAGGAAGAACTAGAAGCTGCTTTGACAGCATGTGAAAGTCCCAGAAATTAACATAGACCCCTGTGAGACAGCAGGGCACCAATTCCAGTGACAGAAGATGTCTGGCACCAAGTAAAAAGCTGCCTTGAGGACAGTAATTGCCAGAGCAGGGCAAGCAGGGAGACAGGACTTGGACACCTCAGCCTGCCTGGTGGTGTCCTGGGGTGGGGAAGCACCACTCCAGAGATGGGCTCCTCCAGGATCTAGGCTGGCTCTCCATCTCTTTTAAATCCCTGCAGGGATGGGGACTCCACCAGTGCCTTGAGCAGCCTGGGCCAGGGCCTGACAACCCTTTCAGAGAAGAAATTGTTACCAAGATCCAATCTAAACCTCCTCTGGTGCAACTTCAGGCCGTTTCCTCTTGTCCTATTGCTTGTAACGGAAGAAGAGATTGACCCTTACCATTCCCCCCCACTCCAACCTCCTTTCAGGGAGTTGTAGAGAACAAGAAGGTCTTTCCTCAGCCTCCTTGTCTCCATGCTGAACACCCCCAGTTCCCTCATCTGCTCCTCATCAAACTTGTGCTCCAGACCCTCCATCAGGCTGGAATTACTCCGTCTACTGAAACTGCAATGAAATGCACCACATGGAAACCAAACTCAGAAGCAGCTACCTCGGAAAGGGCAGAACACACTCTCTGGGTCTTTTGCCTCTTCAACTCTTGGTGCGAAGAAAACCCCTTCAAATCGTCCTTTCTGGCCATGAACCAGCTAGAGCCAGGCCATCCCTGTCCACCAAGCAGGTGCCTCCCTGTGCTGAGACCTCCAGGAAATCCCAGCACAGAAAAAGCTGAGGATGAGAGTGGAGAAAGGCCCTTACCTTGTGCCTGCTCTCCTGGCTCAGGGTGTATGTCCCATAGGAGTTCCCAGGAGTCTCCAAGGGGCTGACAACGTTCCCAAAATGCTCTGCAGATGAGCCTGGAAAAGGGTGCTGGGAGGTGGAGGGAGCAGGGCTGGGCTGCTTCTTGGGAATAAGCTGGTATGAGGAAGGGGAGAAAAACCCAGAGTGTGGAGGCATTTCTTCCTGATCCCCCAGGCTGCTGGCAGCTTCCGCACTGCACAATCTGCTCAGGCTGAAGCGGGTGGTGGGCATGTCGGGCCCTGGACCCAAGCAGCCCTGGTGCTGGGAGACAAAGTCTTGGCTGATGCCAGAAAAAACAGGCTGAGTGAGGGAGCCCAGGAGTGGGGCAACATAGTCCTGCAATGGGCTGGGGCTGCTGCTGGGCAGGAGGTGTGGAGCAGAGCCAGGGCTGTGGCTACACAACCATTCACTGGCAAGTAACAGTGTTTGGGCTGGCTGGGAGGTCCCACCCGACCCTGGCTGGGCAGGGAGAAGGAGTGGCAGGGATTTTCTTGGGTGGGACCCACAGTGGTGAAGTCACCCTCCAGCTGCTGAGTCCCAGGTGGCTCCTGTGGGCAGGAGACTCCTGGGGGTGAAGTGGGTGCTTTGTCCCATGAGGTGCCCTGTGCTGGCTGGAAGAAGCGGAGCAGACCTTCCTCCCCAGCTGGCTTCCACTGCAAGCCATCAGATGGCTCTTCCTCCTCCTCAGCTGGCACTGGTTGCTCCCAGAGGGGAGCAGGGGGCTGGCCTGGGGCCACGCTGGGCTGCATCACAGGCTGGGGCAGGAACTGTGAGTCCTTGTCCTCCATGTGGGCCTGGTAGGTGGCAGTCCCTCCCTGTGGGCTCAGGGACGTGCCTGGCAGGGGATAGACCTGTTGTCCCACTTCGTACCTGCTCACCAGAGTGGCGTGAATGTAGGAGAGAATCTCGTTGCTGGCAAAGCAGTTGTTCAGGGATGGGCTGTGCTCAGAGTCCCTGTTGACCAACACCATTTTCTCATCCAGCAGTAGGAGCTCCAGGTCCTCAGCATTCAACCCCAGGCCCTCCAGTGCACTGAAGAGCTCATTGTTGGAACAGCTCTCATCACCTATAATTGAGAGCGAGTCCAAAGTGGCCAAGACAGGGCAGTCCTGCTGCAAATCCACAAGCCCCTCTTTGAGGCTGGCCCCCTTCAAAGGAACTGGAGCAATGCTCATACTCCCAGCATCTCTTCCTGCATCCAGCAAGGACACATCCTCGAGGTGGTCCTCAAAACTGCTGCTGAAGGAGTGGTTAGGTGCAGGAGCTGGGTGGGAGACATAAACCGCCTTGTCCTGTTGCATCATGGCACCCAGCAGAGAACTGGGGTTAACAGCATCCTTCTGGGAGTGCCCTCCATGCCTCTGGGAGGCCTTCCTGGACCTGCTGGATTTCCCTTTGCTCTGGAAAGGGTCAGGGAAGCCCAGGAGAGGGTAAGCACTTTAGTATAGGAGTGCCTGTCCTGTAGCAAAGGTAAAGGGAAGATGCATGGACTGTTTCCGAAGGCGCTCTCCTCCTTCTTCATCTCTGCGGGGCAGGAAGTGCAGAGTGGGGGTTGTACATGCACAAACACATGCCACAAAATGCTGCTGCAATGGAGAGTTGTGGTTCCTGCAAGCCAAGGTCCCTTTGCTATGACCAGCCTGGCAGGACCAAGCAGGACCATGTGCACACACATTTACGTGTGCGTTTGCATACAAATACACACACTTGTTTTTATACACACATACACAAACCCACTTCACTGTAGCATAACCAAGAGGACACTTAAAGGTTGACAGAGCTCTGCCAGACAGAAGTCACACCTCTTCCCTGCTCAACTAAGCTGCAGCCACCCCTCAGGACAGGGATGTTGCCACACTGAGGCCCCAGGTTCTGCACCCACGTGTCCCGACAGCCCCGAGAGCAGCCACCAGTCTTCCCAGGGCACAAGAAGCAGTGACAAACACCCTGCCCTGCTCAGGGCATCCCAGAGCCCACCCTGATGGAAGAAGCCAGCTTGGGCTGAGCCAGATGGCACTTACACGAGGGGTCTCTGGGTGACAACGATGTGACAACTTTTTTTGGTCAGCTTCTCTCTCTCCCTTTTTTTCCATCACCCTCTCCCTACTCTCTCTCTGTTTATCACCCCCTGCCCCTTCTCTCTTTTTAATTTTTTTGTACCTCCGCGTTCTCTCTTTTTCACACACACCCCCTTTTTTCTTTGCTGCGCTTTTTATTTTTGCCCCCTTCTTCTTCCCCCTTCTCTCTTTTTCTTTGTAATTGTCACTTTCCCCTTACCTCTCAATTTTTTTACCCCCCTTGTCTATGTCACAGCACCCCTGTTTTTTTGCCTGCTCATCCCGTTCTCTCTTTTTTTTGACACCCCTATTTCTTCATATTTGTTGGCCCCTCAGTCTCTTTTTAAAAAATTTTACAACCTCTTCTCTGTTTTTGTTCCTCCCCCCTTCTTTCTTTCTTCAGCCCCCCTTTTTATTTGCTCCCCTTTCTCTTTTATTTTATCCCCTTCCTTTCTTCCCTACCTTTCTTCTACCTTTTTTGGTAGTTATCACTTCCTGTTATCTCTCATTTTTTTAATGCCTTCTCTGTCTCTTTTTGTCCCCTTTTACCCCCCTCCCCCTTTTTTTTTTTATGCCCTCCCCTGTTTTATCTTTTTTTTTTTTTTTTTT